CATTTTGTTCAAATGAAGCAACAACAGCTGAAAAAAAAACTCACATGACTTCTCAACAGAGGTAGAAAAAAAAAAATAATAACTCTGTTCGCAAGCTGGCAGACCTTGAAATCAGATCAAACAGCAACTGTGAAGCAGCCTCTCTTGAACTCCACAAACAGGTGTAAAGAATTATTTAACCTTGTGCTTTTAAGGTGAGATTAGATCCAAAACTTGAAGAGACTGGTTAAGAATAAACCCTAGTCAACAACGGTTTCAGAAGATGTATACTGTTCAAAATAAAACAACTCTCCTTCGAACTAGCTGATCTTGGCAGTTTTATTCTCTCATAACTTTTGGACCAGCAACAAAACACCAGCAATTCTGTATCGTAAGTGAAACTTAAAAGACTGGTGAGGCTTTTGGCTGTAGCTAAATATAAACAGATCTTCTTTCATTTCTGTAGATCGTTTTACATTTAAAGACATGGGAATATGCTGCAAAGCCAATTAAATGACACTCGTCTTTGCATGGGATGGGGAGCAGACACTGCTCAGAAGACTGGAATGGCTTCCCGGAGAGCACAGAGTGGTGACATCCAGAAAAAAACATTCCCAGCCCTGGGCCTCAGTGAGCAGGCTGCGGGCTGCCATGACCCTGGGGTGGCGGCCCCTCTTCGCAGGCTGAGGATGAGAGCTGGGCTGGGCGAGAGTTCAGCGGCCCCGTTGTGGCCCAGGCCATGGGGCACGGCGCTGACAAGGCCTCGCAGTGAGGCATGGCAAGCTGCGACCAGCGGGCCTCGGCACGCCGGCCTGTGCTGCTGCCTTGCTCACTGCATGGGCCTGGACAGCCCAGAACTGAAATTGCCTTAAGAATGTAATAAAATCCCACTGCCAAAACCACACAACAGCACTGCATTTCCCCATACACCTTTGTTGTTTTTTTTTCTGTGCTACCAGAGGAGTCTTTGAGCAAGAATGAAACAAATATTTGCTGCCTTACTGATCTCAGGACCCACGCAAAAAGACAGAGGAGGGGTGAGAGCTCCCTGACACGCCAATCTTCTGAAACAGGGAGATGATTGCAGTGAGAGGAGCTGCTTTATAGTCCCCCTTTACAATCACAACACATGGGTTTCTCAGCTGTATGTACTTATTGCTTTATCAAAGAAGTGCGATTCTGTTATTTTTACAAAATAAGTACTGTATGAATTTACAAGTTCATAGCATTTTTAAACAGAAACCTGTATTCACACCTCTCTGAGGACGCAGCACCTGACTGAACTACCTGTGGCTGTGGGAGCCACAACCCCACACTGGCCCCAGAGGTGGGCCAGGAGGACCCCTCTTCTCCTTCAGTCCCAGACTCCAGCAGCCTTCTCCTGCCCCACAGTGCGTCTGGAACCGTGATCTCAGTTGCTGCAGCCTGGAGAAAGCCCAACCCACAACAGCCACTGCTTGTATTGTAGGGCTGAACATTTTCTGAGGTCCCTTGAATTTCTCCTGCTACACACGGATTTGCCAATGTGTGAATGGAAGTAATCCCCTCCTGTGGAGGTTGTGGATCTTTTCCTGGTGTTCCTGCTCTGGTGGCCACACATGGGCTTAGCCACACACCCCTGTTAACAAGGAACTCGCCCCTAGGACAACCATGAACTGTTGACCCTTTTAAAGAGTTGATCCAAAATCATGTTAGAGACTGCAGAAAAAAAAATTACTCCTTTTGACTTCAGTGGCTAAATGGGTAACCAAGGTCTTACTGCAACTGCATTTACACATTATGTATGCTATATATAACCACAGAGAAAGCAGAAAGTTGTATTACCTTCTCATACCACAAACTAGTTTTGGTATGAAAACACATCCCTTAATCTGAGGGGAGGCAGTAACTTTCAGAATAGGTGAAGATTGTGATTCACATGTTGTACCTACACAGAGATCCTGCTGATTCACCTACTTCAAAACTCTTTCTAATCTTTGGCCCTCTGAAAGCCATCAGTTAAGCTGGGATCCAGAGCTCACTGAAGTGACTGGGTACCTCATGTCTTTCTTGTAAACCCTGCATTTGGAGAGCAACGTATGCACAAAACCTAAACCTCTGAAAACTGAGTGTACAGGAACAAATGAGACTGACTGCATCAGCAGACACAGAGCTTGTGGCAGCTTAAAGTCATTTTGTACAAAAGGAATTCAGGATGCAGGAAAATACATGTATATGCTTTGTTTCTGCAGGGAGATGGGGTTAACCATCTCTTGCAGGAAGCCTAGCTCCTAGTATGATCTCTCATAAATAATTCTTTTTCTCTTGCAGTGCTGTGTTAGAAGGACAACAGAACTGGAGGCTGAAAGCTCAGCTACCGAAAGATCTCAGTTCTGATGCACTCCTGCTGAGCATGGCAGGGCCTCTAAGAAAGGAAATCAAGAGGAGAGTATTCAAGCCGCAGCATTTACTGCAGAGCTTGGAAAAACAAACTGAAAGACAAAGCTTTATATTGCATCTTAGACCCCTAAGCCTGCCACTTCCACTTCACAGGCTGAGCTTCTCACGCGAATTCACACCAACATCACACATTGATTCTGCAGCAGGATCCAGGCAAGCATGAAGTCCTACAGATCAGTAATAGCCCCACGCTCTTTAGCAGCACTGCTTTTTCCATACAGTTTGTAGCATCTGTAATAATTTTCCAGGGGATACAGCAAACAGTGTAACAAAGAAAATGTACTCACAGGAGAAACAACTACAGTACATCATTCTGTGCACTGCATGCTTAATCACTGTGCACAAACTTTGTGTATTTGTGCATCTGTGAGGGAAAAAGGGAGAGAAAGGCATGTTGATTCTTTTTATGACACGATTTAAAACAACAACAACAACAATTTCTTCGCTAAAAATGTGAGAACAATACAAAGGCTTCAAATGCATTAAAAATAAAGAATATAAAAGTATGCCAAGAATATTTAGCACTGGTGCAGTTAGGCTAGAAGCTGATCATAGTTTAGGTGTCACAAATAACAATGCTCTGACAGATGTAAAAAACACAGTATGGCTTTCAATCTTCTTATCTTGCACAAAGCTGGGAGGTTTTCTAATGTAAAGAAATAAAACAATATTCAACTACATATGTAACAGTGAGATCTTGTATGTGAAATATAAGCAAACATTCATGATCTGAAAATCAGAGATGCTATAAACCTGCAAATAGTGTTGGAGGCAAAGGACGATCAGCACATCTTTAAATCCAGCCATGAATACCAATGGCAGGGGTTGAGAACTAGTGTGTCACCACTTCACCACTTCACACCTGAAACCATACGCGCCAGAGAAAACTAAAACAACTGTGACAAAAATACATACTGTTTTTGAGGTAAGAAAATTAGGGAGAGGAAGGGAAAGAAAGACGTAAGAAAACCAGAAGACTCTTTGTGGAAATGCATCACAGAGCTCTCACCAGTAATGACTTGCTGATGGCAGGAGTCTCACTAGACCTGTGAGCACTCATGAACCTGGCTAAGGCCAGCTGTACAGCCTCTGCAAGTTGTCTTCAGAAGCAAACCAAAAAACTCTTTCACTATTCATACAACCATTAGTCCTTTCTAAATGTCTTCTTCCATACCTAACATTAAAGAACCTGGAAGAATCTTTAACAGTCTTGCTTCTTTGTTTCTCAAATTCAGCAACATAATATTGAAGATAAGAAAAACTGTATAAAACTGATCTTCTGTCTCACCTTAAAATGTGTTTAGGGAAAAAGAAGTCAAACTAACAACTGAGGTTTCTAAAATATATAAAACAAAATGAATTTATACACTGAAAATGCTAAGCAGTCAAATGAGAACTCAAAACAAAGCTATAACAATTACTCCATTAATATCATTAATGAGAATATACTTATTTTTCCAAAGTCAGCTTTTTGCCTAAAACTTAAACCCCTTTCCATATAAAGAAAGGGGAGAGCAAAACCATTCAATTTATTTAATATTGCAAAGAGTGATAGTGCACAAATGCAACCATTCACATGCTGCTGAACACAATCAGCACTAGATACCTCTGAGTCACTGGTCCTATATGGCTACACATGTATTTCAAGGGAAGCCTGCTGAGCAGGGAGCTCTTACTTGCAGCCCTTGCAATTGCAGTGCTAGGCTGATATGACAAGCTATGCATGGTCACAAGGCATGTTCAGTTTATCCTATAATCTTTGTTTGACCTACCATATGTATCTACAACTCACCTGAACCTGGACTGAAATTATCTACTGGGAATGTCTCCAGCATTGCAGATACTTAATTCCCTAATTGTTCATCATTCAGATATTGAGTAGTTTGTACGACACCCATGAACCCATCATGCATCCAAACAAGAATATACATTATGAACAGACAGTGTTGTTGAAAGATTACGTCAAGGGCACAGATAAACATGTAAAGCTTCTTGTCAGTGAGTCCCCTCATTTAGGATAAATATTTTTATAACATTATTATATTTTCCATACAATCACCATTTGATTTAAAAAAATGTTTATTATGATGAAAGGGAAGTATCAACTATATAGAAAAAACATCAAGCAAAAAAAGTAAAATATAGAAAGGCCTGCCAAATCAGTACCATGTATAGAGTTGCTATGGCTGCCCCAGGGCAGAGTAGCACAGTTCTTCTGAAGCAATTCAAGAAATACTCAATTCAAGATATATTGCAAAATTGTTTCAAAATGCACTCCTCCTCAGTTGGTGTTCAGCAATGTGCTAGTGTGAAACTGCCATCAGCAAAACTGGAACAATTTATTCCCAAGCAGAAGATGAACCCAGTAAAGGAGTCAAGACGTTCAGAAGCAAAGTTTGCAATATTCCCCAAACCATGAGAAGCAGTGAAGTTTCAAGTGCTCTTACAAGGCAGCTAGAGTAGCATGACTGTTTCCTTATATCTCCGTACTATCATCATTTTCATTATTATCTCCCATTGGTATTAAGTCCCATATTCTTGACGTAGCATAGCTGACCTGGTTCCTATGGAATTCAGATTGCCAACATCGGTCTGTGCATATATCTATAGGAAACTTTTAGTTTCAGACCAGTACAAGAGATCTCAACCATGATGAGCTTCCTATGTGTTTTTTAAAACTAGAGCAAGGAAAGGCCAAGTTTTTGATCCTGTTCACCAAATCAGTCAAATGAGGCAGCTTGCACGCAGCTATCAAAATATTTGACAGAAGAATGGCTATATGAGAATGGATGGGAATTTTATAGGGTATGTGTCAAGAATAGAAAATAGTAGTATAATTTAATTTTTAAACGTCTAAAAGTGAATGTGCTCAAGACCATAGGAAACTGAGTTTCATTAGTTCCCCTGCTCAGGAACAACTTAATGATTTCCTTTAATGGTCACGGAAGGATGATTTACAATCTGTTGACTTCAGCATTCTCTGTAGCCACAGGACTTAACACACACACCTTTGCAAACTGTGTAGCTATATTTAAGCTAATATTAATGATATTTATTTTTAAGCTTTACTATCATCCATGATAAATGGAACTGTTGGTGGAAACCGAGGGGGAATTTAGCAGTACTGTCCTGCTGTGCTGTCCATCTCTGCAGCGCTTGGTGAAGCTGCTGTGTACTCAATGTACCTACAAGGAAGAAGAAAGGACTGGATACAAATGAACTGGTCCAACAGAGAGAGGCTAGGTGAAGCCTAACTAATAGCTTGTATTTTACTTTACCCACAGTGCAGCTGATGGCAGGTTGACCCCAAGAAGAGCGACGGTGCTGGCTGATAGATTGCACTGAGCAGCACTGCAGTACGGGTTGAACGTGAGCCCCAGCTGCTCCAGCCACAGGCCTGTGCCGCCTCTCATTCGGTTCAGACAGTAATCTCCACATGAAATGGTTTCCTCTGCATTCAGCAGGGTGGCTAGGAAGCCCATCTTCCTTAATCCACCTTCTGGGCCTTAATGCTTTGCAGCTGTTGGAAGTAACTGCTACTTTTAAACCTAGAATTTAATTAAAGCATCCCCAGGACTTTTCTCATGTAATTCAGTGACCCTTTTCTCTCAGGCTAACCAGAATTATACAAGCTGTTATGGCTACTGCAGGCAAAAGAGGTCTCCAAGCTGTACCAGTAGCTGTAATTAACACATGAGCATATGTCAATTTGTAATTGACTTCTCAGAGAATTCAGTGCAGCCACACAACCAAACAGTTTTGACAAGCTTTTGGCATCCTGGCAGCAGCTAGTCCTGCCAGAAACTGGAACAAGAGCAAGAAGAGCAGGCTGAGGGGAGGCCTCATGGCGGCCTGCAGCTCCCTCACGAGGGGAGCGGAGGGGCAGGCGCTGAGCTCTGCTCTCTGGGGACAGCGACAGGACCCAAGGGAACAGCATGGAGCTGGGACAGGGGAGGGTCAGGCTGGGGGTTAGGGAAAGGGTCTGCACCCAGAGGGTGCTCAGGCACTGGGACAGGCTCCCCAGGGCAGCGGTCACAGCACCGAGCCTGATGGAGTTAAAGAAGCGTTTGGACGATGCTCTCAGACACAGGGTTTGATTTTTGAGTGATCCTGTGTGGAGCCAGGAGTTGGACTCAGTGATCCTTGTGGGTCCCTTCCAACTCAGGATATTCTAAGGCCAGTTTGTTCTGCAAGGATTTTTCTAAGATCATCTGGTGCAGTGTCACATCCAGGCCTGTGAAACCACGTTGCCTAAGGATCAGGGATCTGGGCACTGGTGAGCAGCAGGCCTGCAACACTTCAAAACCTTTCCTCCTGCTCTTGACCAGTCAGTGACTATTTGCTGTGGTGTGAATGACAGGACTGCAGGAGTAGGTATGATGAATATGGGCTGCAGCTGTCAATAAAATGCCATCAACACAAGTAATGAAAAGTTATTGATGACTCCTGCATGTACCAGAATCCCATCAGGGTAACCAACAGAAACTGTCCCCTTACTCTACCTCTGGCATCAGATTTCTCAAGCACTCAGCTGAAAAGAGCGTTTTCCATTATGTTTCATGGTGGCATCTATTGCTAGTTTACCAGGAGTGATTCAGAAAGGCCTGCAATCCTAAATCTGCCACCATTTACATGCCTCTTCTAAAAGAAAAAGGAGGTTTGTTTCACTGCCCACTACTCCAGACTTTTAACAACATCTTGCACACAGCACCCAGAGTTGGGAAATCTTTCCCTGTCCCACCTGGATCTTAGGAAGAGGCTGCACGCCTGCTGCCTGAGCAGGTGCAGGATGACAGCACAGCATGCACCTGGGACACTGTCTCAGGAGCAAGCAACATATGAGTTGACATAAGACTTCACCCTTATGTTAGAACTGCTTTGGAAATAGTTTCCTATGGAATCATTACTCAGAAAGGTATACTAAACATAAAATAGAGTTTTTCTTTTCTTTTTTTTCTTTTTTTGTTTGTTTTGTTGTTTTTTGTTTTCCAGAAGGGCCAATATAGGCATACACATTAAAGATGAGCAGAATGCAGAAACCAAAGTAAATGATAAGGAGAAACAGTACTAAGATACTACTTTTATCTGTTAGTATTTTTCCTGTTTGTTCGCACAGTGTTCAGGATGAAAGTGTGGCCTGTGGTAATGTGTGCTTAGTTACCTTTTGGAAATGCTGAACTCAAGAGCACCAGGTTCCCCTGCTGAAAAGCTAGAGATCTTTAAGGGCACATAAGTATAAGTCGGTGTGCTTTTTTGAAGGAAGAGGAGGAGAAATGTGCATGGAGCATGCTTTCCCAGTAACACCCCCTTCCTAGGCTTCACAAGATACCCTTGTGTCTCTGATACTACCAGCTTCTGGCTAGCAGCCTGATCAGAGCACTTCTTCCTTCTGCCCCTCCATCTCCTCTATCCCAGCTGCAGAAACTACCCCCACTTCTGACCGCCAGTCTTGGTGGGAGAACAGCAGAAGGGTTTTTTGCACTCTTCTCTTCTTCTACCCTAAACTTGCTAGGCATTGCTGGGCTGAGAAAGCCCACGGTGGCCCAGTACAGAGCCTGCACAAGGTGGGGGGAAAAGTAACTCATTTAGTTTCCACAGCCTGAAAGACCTCACTTTTGGGAAGCCAGCCTTACAGCCACTTCCCGGTAGAGCAAAACTACATGGAGGGAAAGTTATTTTCCATCTTGTTCCTTCCCTCTTTGCCTTAGGTCCTTAGCACAACAAAACATCTTGCTTTCCTGGAACTTCTGCTGCAAACTGCTGGCTGCCATAGACGTGGTCAAGTGATTTTGGCTTATAGATCATGACACTGGGTTGGAGAAAAATGTCTCAGCAGAAATTGGAGTCCTAAACAGTAACTGCATGTGCATCTCTGCAGGCACTCTGGGAAGGAGGGACCTAGGGGCAGGAGTTTTTGCCCGTGTGATGGTTAATTGCACAGTGGGAACGGCTCTGAGAAGCAGGACATTAATTGCATTTGTTCCCCCGCAGTTAGTCCTAATAGGGATAGGTACAGGCCACCGTTGCCTCCTGTGACCAGGAAACACAGAAGGTGACTATTTAAGGAAGTTAGAGAGCCCAGCTACGTACATACACACGATGTTTTGCATGAGTGGGAGGCCACACATTCCTATTCTAAAACGTACCATTAGGTGGCACTGCCTTGAAGCATTACCTCCCAGTATTTTCCATGACTTGCTATTATCTACACTCTAAGGAACACAGTTGCCACTGAAATCGAGCGAAAAAAGCCATCCTTCAGACCTCTGAGTATACTGAGGGCCAACGTTATTGGCATACATACTTTCACATATATTGTTTACTCTTAAATTGCTAAGTTTTGTCCCGAAAAAACAAGATGTCTTGGATACTTTAGCTCAAATACCGTACCTCCAGTTCCAAAGTGTATTTCCAAAGTGGCTGTACGGGTAACACCCTCACCCACCGCCTCCCCTTCCCACGCTTTGTACAACTGACTGTCCTCTGGCATCTAGCACAATAAGGATTCTGTTCCTTTTCTGTACCACACTAACATCCAACAAAGACACATTAATAAGTAATTTTCTCTTTCACTTCTCATGTGCAGGACAAGACTGGCACAGAGCTTGGGAAAGCAGGCTTGTGAGCAGGGCACCAGCAACTGGAAGTCTCTGGAAATGAATGATGGTTATGGCAAAAGGAACTGCAGGGATTCCCTGTGCTACTGATTTGCTGTTGTGAAATTGCACAGTAGAGCAGACACCACTTTAAATGAATGATGAAAGGGACCTAAAGGCAGGTATAAGAAGGAAGGAGGTGATGACAGTCCAATGATGGAATAGTGCAAGGAGGTTGTGATGAGGAGGGGGTTGGCCTCTGCTTTCAGATAACTAATGATAGCACTCGAGGAAATGGCCACAAGCTGTGCCTGGGGAGATTTAGATTAGATGTCAGGAAAAACTTTCTCTTAAAGAGTGGTCAGGCACCGGAACGGCCTGCCCAGGGAGTGGTGGAGTCACCATCCCTCACGGTGTTCAAGAAGCCCCTGGACAAGGTGCTACGAGATATGATTTAGTAGCTTATGGGTAGTATTGGTGATAGGAGGACGGTTGGACTATTTGATCTTGTAGGTCCTTTCCAACCTTGTGTTTCTGTGATTCTATAAGACTGTCACTCGTAGCAAATCTTCTCAAATGCAAAGATAAAGACCCTGCCTGAACAGCTCATATCTGCCACATATCCTGTGCACATGCCGAGGGTGAGACGCTGGTTGCGTGACAGTGTACAGTGCCAATTATTTATAGTGCAAGGAAAAGGAATAGGGTCAGAAGATAAAGGCTTACCAACTGAAGAACGTTCTGGAAGGTTTTCATGTAAGAACCCAACTGATCTAAAAACATCAAGGCCACGAGTTCAGGTCTCCCTTGATCTTCTGCATCCATCTGCTCGGTGGCACTGAAAAGAACTGCTCAGCTTTCTGGCAGCCCTGTGCTCTGAACATGCAAGTTCCTAAGCAGCTGTTATTTTTGCAGTCTCTGTCACAGAGCACGGCTTGCCCACCTCCAGCTACCCCATGCCATGCTCACTAGGAACTGTCAGCATAACTACCTGAGCCCAGGCTTCGGCATTTTCTTTTTCACAAACACTTCTGATCTAGCATTACATCCCAGTAGTGACCTTGCACTAGCATTCCTTTTGACTATCGTTTAAAGTGTTCAAAAAGCCATTGATAAATGGTCAGCCACAGACCTCCTCCCAAGAGCAGTATGAGGTGGAGTAATGCAGCAGTGTCAGCTACAGACTGACTTCAGGAGTGTGCGGCTGCCAGCGGATTGACCCAGCTGCATTCCAGCTGAAAACCAACATCCGATCATCTATCTGCTCCCCGACCTGTTAGCATCCATCTAGTCACCCTGACAGTGGAGCAGAGGACACATAGCCCATACACAGCCTGGCAGAATGTAAAGCAGTGAAGTAAAACAGATGGAGAGTCACGGGAATGGCCCAACCACACAAACATGAAGATGAATTACTTTACTATAAACTTACTGGAGTTTCAAACAGAAGAATATGCTAATTCGTATCAAGAATGTAAGCACAGATCTCTCCAATGTGTAGCATTTCAGCTAATTTTTACTTAATATCTACTATTTACTAAAGGATTGCTTATATTCAGATGCTGGAGTTGCCTGAAAAATCTCCCGTGGATTTATTGAACAAAATGCGGAGACAGTGGGAGGCAGGAGAACGGCAGGAATTTGTGAACATCGCTATGCAGAATTAATAACATTCTATCAGTAAGATTCATGATGAGTTTTTGCCTTTTTTTTCCTCTTTTGAGCATCAAAGATAGATTGCCTGCATTTCAAATATCACCATAGGAGCAGAAATTAACACAAATGAAGACAGATTTACTCTAAATGAGCAGGAAAAATATTCCAAAGCATTCTAAGCTCCAAACCTTAGCAGAGAGAGAGAGAGACTTAACTTTAAAAAAACAACATTCAGAGAAAATTAAGCCTGTTTTTTTTTCTT